AGAGGAGAGCAGGCCTCCCATGGATCTGTTTAAGGCCATCTTTGCCAGCTCCTCTGATGAGAAGTCCTCCTCTTCATCAGAGGGGGAGAGCAGCGATGAGGAGGAAGAAAAGGTGACAAAGGAGGATGAAGGAAAAGTGGACTCGGAGCCACTGAACCTCTTCAGCATCCCCTCCTCCTCCTCAGCCACCACCGCCTCCTCCTCAGCCACCGCCTCCTCCTCAGCCACCACCTCCTCCTCAGCCACCACCTCCTCCTCAGCCACCGCCTCCTCCTCAGCCACCACCTCCTCCAGTCACCAAGCAGGTACTCTGAGTTTGCTGAATCACCTTAACCTTTCCTCTAATCTCACGTCCCTGTCGAGCATAACTCTGTTAACTCTTTTCCTCTCTGCTCCTTCAAAAGCAGCAGTTTCCACTCAGGCCTCCGAACAGGAAGAGGAGGAGTTTGGGCCGAAGCTGCCGCCTCCCTCGGCTGCTCTGAGTGAGTGTCACCCACCAGATCAACAACAGACAGCTCAAGTTTATTCACCGTGACCCAGTCACATGGTTTCCCTTGCGTGGACATTGTTTTTATAGATACAGCAGTCTCTCTGTGATCAGCTCAGCTGGGTTACATTCGTGTGAATCGATCCACATTCAGTGTGTAGAACTAGAGCGTCTGTTCATCGACGCTTTCACTGCTCCTCTTCTGCTTCTACTTCATTAAGTGCATCCTGCTTCGTAAAAGCGTTGCTGGAGGATTAATAACCTCTGCCTGTTGTTCCTGTGTTTAGTCAGAGGGGGCGCCGCCTCCATGTGCCCTCCAATCAAGGAGGTTAAAACGGGCAAGAAGAGCAAAGAGAAGAAACACAAGAAAAAGAAGCATTACAAACACAAGAAGGAAAAGAAGGTAGAAAACGAAGAATAAGGATCAGATCAGATAAAATGGCTCCTTCCTCACGCTGAAGCTGTGACTTCTTTTTTCTTTGCAGAAGAAGAAACACAAGAAGCACAAGCACAAAGAAGCAGCCGAAGAAGAGCAAGGAGGAGGAGCCGGCGAGCAGGAAGGTGAAGACGGACAGGTGTCGACAGACGAGCTGCTAAAAAGGTCAGAGGTCACCTGTCAGAGCATCGAAAGATGACCCTGATGGAGTGGGAGACATTTGGAAATTAGTTTGTTATAAAGTGCTGATGTAAGTCGGAAGCTGTGTATGCAAAACAATCATTATTAACAATATTTAGAGTTTTTTTCTCTTTTTTTTGTTTCCACCAAAACGTTTTAAATCCGTAATCCATCGCTCACCGACAGAAACGCACTGCGTTCAATTAAGAACATAGTTTGTTTTCATCTGCTCTTCTGATTCTGATATCATTTTTATTTATCAGATCTCTTAGAGGGGGGAGTGTTGTGTTTACGTTTAGTAAACAGATGCTTTTATTTTTAAACACTGAATTTAGTGTCGTATGCAAAGCACCTCGAACCGTCTTCTTCACTGTCTGTGTGTTTGTTTTCTCTTCCAGACTAAAGAGCATCCGCTCCCATCAGATGTGGTGAATCAGTTGGAGGTCTGTCCTCTGTGAGGACCGTCAGTCAGCTGATTGTTTCACCTGACAGATTACCTGCTGTGTAGTTTTAGGTAATAACAAAAAATCTTTATAACCAAGTGTTCTGTATTTACTGACCTGCTGGGAAACCTTCAATCACACGAAAAACTGACGTTTTGTGTTTAAGTGAAGAACTCTCTCTTAAAGGAGGTGAACATGTCACTGTCACAGTCTGTTTCCATTCATCGATTGCAAACGATGAAACCTTAGGTTACACTCGAGACCAAAAAGGCCACATTGGACAGAAAAGACGTGTAACCACGATTACTATGGAGAAGGAAAGGAACAGCTGATTTGGGTTGCTGTGGTAACATTCCTGCTGCCCCGTATAGATTCCTTCGTTACCAGTTACATTGTAAGAAGTTTATTGATATTGACACAAAGAGACAACTGTGATCTTTTAGAACTTTTGCTACATATTCTGATGATTTCAGAGACTTCTGTGTGTGACGTCGTTTAAGCTTGACATTGATATAATATTACAAACATTAATCCAAGATTACAGATTGGTAAGAAATGCGTTACAAATGGAAGTATATGTCACAATTACTGGATTCCACGTTTCACCACATCTCAGACAGAAGCAGTTATATATATTTTTTTCATCTTTATTTAATCAGAAGGAAAAATATCCTCATTTCCAAGAGAGACCCGGAGGAAGAAGCAGCACAAACAAGCTCTTTGTTAGCTTGTTTCACAGTTTGTGAAACTGTGGAATGAAGAATATGTTGTGTAAATGTCACTTGTGACTTTGAGCTACACAGTCGACAGGTGAAAGTAAACATGGACAAAACCAGTAATAAAAGAGTTTCATTATTCTATAAATCTTTGATCAGGATCAATAATCAGGATTTATTCATTTCAAATTATACTGTAAATCTATAGATTTAAGGCTGCAGACCCTGAATTGGGATACAGCCGGATTCCTTAAAATTCAGGAAAATGGAGGACTCATATCAGGGCCGCATTTCAAGCAGCCTTTGAATTGGGACAGCCTTCATTGCGCCGCTGTGACGTAATCTGCCTTAAGATGCGGCCTTAAAGGCTGCAGACCCTGAACTGGGATGCAGCCTTTGTCAAACACAGCTTTAAATGCAAATGAAAATGTCTCTCATACATCTTTCAGCTGTTTTACTTTAGAAAGGGAGAAAAGTTGTGCATGAGTGTTCTTGTTCCTTGTTTCATGCTCCACTGTGACAAAGTCCAGTCTGCATGTTCAGTCTGTCCATCTTAGCTTTCGAGGAGAGAAACTCAACTGTTTCTTAGATTTTCAGAGTTGTTCAGTTCATACAGGAACTGCAGCTTACAGCTTGAAGTGTTTAAAGCAGGGGTTTACAAGTCCAGGCCTTGAGTTCCGGTATGCTGCAGGAACTCGAGGCCTGGACTTGTCCTGCAGGTTTTAGATATCACCCTGTGTCAACACACCTGTATCAAGTGATTAGTTCATTCCCAGGCCTCTGGAGAACTTTAAGACATGTTGGGGAGGTTATTTAGCCATTTGAATCAGCTATAAAATATTGCTCATCAGATTCTAACAGCTAAAAACATGACTTTAACCTTAATTGGATAGACTATATCGAATATATTCGAAATCAACAATAACACTTCTCAATATTGCCAATAACAAAACTAAAAAGAGTAGGCCAAAAAACTGGGCCTATAAAAGAAGACCTGTTACAGAAGAAACATTTCAGTATAAAACCTGGTTTAGCAAATCAGAATCTACTAAACCATAAAAATAAAGATGTCTGACTGCAGGGGCTAGTTTGAATAATTTTAAAAGTCATCAGACAGAAACAGGACCTCGGAGTAAAAACAAGACAGATTCATGCAAAGTCATTTATTTCTATGGTTTCCATGAGCAAAGGAAGCACACTGTGAAATATCCATCAAATGTTTTTAATTTCATATCGTTCACAGAAACATTAGATAACACTGACAAGAGTGACGATGTCAGCACCAGATTCAAGTCAGCTTCACTTTGATAAAATCTGAAATGAATTTACAATAAATATGAAACTGGTGAACGTAGATAGAAAACAAGACCAAGGCGGTTGTCTGCTGCAGTTAACCATGTTTTGTTTTTTTAGGGGGTTAACCAGTGTCACTGTCAGTGACACAGTCAATGTCACTGTCAGCGGCACCGGCTGTGGCACCGGCTTTTTTAATCTTTTTAATTTCCCTAAATTTTTCTGCCACAGGTTTGCTATTAATGCACAGTGCACCACCAGGCCTTTCGAACTGTGATGGTTCTCTGTTTGAGTCACCAACACACATCCAGTTTTCAGTTTCAGAAACACACCATTTGGAATGATCACATCCATGATCCCATTTACCTGCGGCAGTGTCTACTGACATGATGGTGACTAGTTCTTTGCCTTTTCTAGTTACAAAAGGCTCTCCACGGTCGCTGCGCCAGGTCTGGATGTATAAATTGGTATTTAGTGTGTCAGCAATGGTGACATAAAGATCTCCGACTGCAAAAGGAAAGACAAACACCAAGAAACCATCAGATAGTTTTAAAATAACAGAATAAAAAAAGAAAAGTGTTGCTTACAACAACCCTGACTCGACTTTCTCTTTCTGAGAGTTTATGGGAAATTCCAGCTCTTCTTATTTAATCATTTCTTTTACAAACATCAGACCTCGTATGATCCCTGCTGCTACACTCCCCTGCACTAACTCTGCACTGAGGCTGGGTCACGCTGACACCTTAATGAAAGGTTTCCATGGCAATACAAACTTACAGCACAACATGTGTGTTCACAGGATTTATTTTTCAGCTTCCACAACATTTTCATACCAGGATCATTTTTTAATTTTAAATGTGAGTTATTTTTAGAGTTAAAATCTAAATGAAGTACATTTTGAACAGAACTACTCTGTAAAGTTAGATCTACTCATAACCCAGCTGATGTTTCACAGGCCAAATCATTAGAGGGTTAGAATAAAGGACTGTGTTAGGTTGGACGTTTCACACCTTGTAAATAAGATTCTCAGCTCTTTGGTGGGAAAACTACAGAAAGTCACAATTATTTCACACAGGAAACTCACAGTGTGGTTTTAAGGTTTTTTTTCTAAAACGAATGAAGCAGAAATCTCACCTTCAGGATCCCTGGTGGCTGAGGTTTGTTTAACAAAGCGTTTAAACAGCAAATGACCAGCTGACCACAAGTCTTTGTTATAGGGCCGCGCTCGTGGTACGGGGGAAGAATCTGTGAGTTTGTCAGCATTGTGTTCTTCAAATTTATAAGCTTCGATATCTTTAAGATGTTGAGCTGAAAAACATCAAAATGAGGGATGTACATGTTACTGTGTTAAGACTTCATATACACTCTAGACATGAAGAAATAACTTGGACATGCTCTTACCTATTTCTGCAGACTCTGTAGAGTTCAGTGTTACACACATAAATATCTGTGCATTACATTTCCCACTGTTTAGGTGAAGAACGTATGCTTTCACAGACATGAGGGGAAATTTGGTGTGCTGTGTAAAAGCCAGACTACATGTCCCTCATCTATCATCACAAATCCTGCAGAACAGAACATGAAAGAGCACATGTCATATTAAGAAGAGAACATTGCTGAGTGATCTGAGAATAACAGCAGCTGTGGTTCTGATGCTCAGAGGTGAGCGTGATAGGAGAAGCGCATTTAACTCAGGTGTTTTATTAGTATGTATTGTGTTATTTTTATATTATTAAAAATTATTTCTACCCACTTGCCTGTGGCCATGGTGGAACTTACACTATTTGATGGTTGGTGGTTGGTCATTGTATGCAATGAATCCAAAATCTGATGACTGCGTATCCTGAAAGAATCCAAAAAACATGACATAAATTATGTCTTTCCTCAACAGGCATACACATAATCAGAAAGTCATGGAGTTAATCTCACTTTTTCAAAGTAGGGCTTCAGGGTATTTGCCAGTACACCAGCTTGGGTTGTTGACATGCTTGTTATTCTTTCTAAGGTTCTGGTTGGTTGATCAGTGTAAACATAGTTAAACCCGTTTTTTCACCTTGTCAAAATAAACCTGGTGATGTCAGAGACAAGTCAGTAAATTCAAAGATCACAATAAATGATGAGAAGCTTAACTGAGCATGGAAGAAGAAAATAACAAACTCTGTTATACCCAGTCTCACAAGCACCTTATGAGTAAAGGCAGAGATATGACTGAAAACCTTTAACTATGATAACAGAGCCTTTATGAATAGTATTTTCCACAGGTTCCTCATGATGCTAAATGTGATGAAGCTTATGAAACTTTGCAAAGTGTTTTCTTCCATGTTCCTCTTTTGATCATAAAGTGAGAATAAGATGAGTGTTAAAATAGATGTGCAGGGCATGGAGAAGAGGAAGTGTGTCCCATTTGTGGTTGTCTTCAGTGTTTTCAATGCATTAGTATGTCTAATGTCCCTCGTTGTTAACTTCCCATACTTGGAAATGACGTTATTTATGAAATGGAAATATATAAAATAACTGATAATAACAGTGTAAAATAGTGTTACAGTGTCTGAACATCATCTATGACTATGTTGAAACGCAGGTGTAAAAGGTACCATAGCGCAGCTTTGAAGCACTTGAAGACCAAAGTTACTAATGTATAATTCAGTATACATGAATGAATAGCTCAAATGTTGTCTTACCAGTCTACATCTGCACCATTTTCATTTTTACAGGATATAGCGCCCTCACAATGTGAGCCAAGCAGACCAACAGTGAGGACAATCATCCAAAGGACTTCCTGAAAGAACATAATAATAATAATAAAAATCATTTTAATACATCATCTTCCCTTTACATGAAAAAAAGAATTAGCCCACTATTACAGGCTGCAGTGTCTTTACAGGTAATAACATAATTCAGTATCACAGCATGACTTGAGTTCACAGGTTATTCTGTGCTGCACCAAATGTGTCACCATCCTAATACAGACAGAAACCAACTTACCATCAGGCTGAGTGAAGAGTGTGTGAGTCCTCAGCTGAACTGACCCTTAGTTATACAGCTCCACAATATGATTTGCATTGACCCATGGTCAAGAATTTTAATACCGTTGGACTTTTAAATATATTGTATTGATAGGAAAATGAATAAAAGAGGAGTTTCTTTGTTTTGTATCAGACATGACAGCAAACTTCTTTTCTTGCTGTCAAACTAAATACTTTATTAGATTTTACCCATGGATGTTTAATACAAGCATTTTTTTCCTACACTCCTGGCAACTACAGTGTTACAGTTTTTAGCAAATATTACTCCAAGTACTACAGAGCTTTATTCATCCCACAATTGTTGATTAGTTGCTTTAACAGCTGTTTTCCAACAGCTGTTTCCAACAGCTGGTTCAATCATACTTACATTGATCAATCGATGGTTTTTTTTGTCAGATTTGGAATCAAACAAAAGTATAATCAAAAATCTTTTTTTCAAAAAAGACATTAAATACCACCATTGGTGTGAGCAGAGGTTATGCAAAACCTTCAGGAGGGTATGATGATATAAATGTTAGTGGTTATTGAGATG